CATTTGAGTGGTGCACTACTGCCACTAGTGGTGAGAAAGTGTATTGCACCTTATTCAAAATCAATGCGGCCCTAAGTCAAAAACCATTGTTCTTTTGAGGCCCTCAAGGTGGCGCTCTCTGGTTTAGCCTTACATTCAGGACCAGACCTTCCTGCAAACAGAAACCAGTGAGAAATAGACAAATAAAAAATATCCTCAGATATAAGTACAGATAGAAATATCAGACAGAATACTTTAGTCCACTCACATCTAGAAGTGGCTGAAGGCGTAACGAATCAGATCTATGGACCCAGAAACAGTTACAATGATGAGGAATTCAGACCAAAATATAGCAGTTCTACTTTCTATAGACCCCAACAGAAGAATTTAAAAGCATCATAAGATAAGACAAGATCAATCTTTATTGTCATTGTTGCACTGAAAATAACACTGTGGTCCATAGACAATGAACAATGAAATAATTTTGCTGCTCCCATAGCGCAAATAAATCAGAACATTAAAAAAGATAAAATAAAGAGGTAACAATAGAATAAAAAAGTAAGATAAAATAAGATAAAAATGAAAAAATAAAAATAAAACACAACACAACAGTAGCAGCCATATCAAAGTGTCAGGTGGATATTTTGCACACAACCATAGTGTTACCAATTTAACCATGTGTGTTTAGAAGTTTAACTGTTGTCTCTAATCCACCTGAAGACCTCACCAAGCCTTTCAGACATATCTATCACTGCTGTGTCCTCCTCACTGACTTTTAAAACAAAAGACCAAAAAGTAAACAGACACTGAACGTGATGAACGTCCAGTGCTGCTTTTCTTTTGTAGTGAATCTGTTTCAGCAGAATAAAGTCCTGTAACGCAGGTGAGCCAGGACAGTTTCTGGATGTAGTAACGGTTTCTCTTTGTCTCTGTGCAGGATGCTGGAGGACGACCTGAAGATCAGCAGCGATGAAGAGGAGGCTGAGCAGCAGGTCAGCTTTGTCAACAGTCCTACCCTTCCTTCTTCTCTTCTTCACTTGTCTTATTCTTTTTTTAAACAAATTAACACCTTGGTCTTAAACCTTACCCCCCCCACCTGAAATTAGCACCCATACCCGTGGGGACCTGGCTTTGGTCCCCACAAGGAACCACCCGTGGAAAATGGTTCCCACGATGTAACAAAAACGTTCCCAAAACCACTGGCATGATGCGTGGCATACCTTTTTAACGCTCGACAAAAACAGTTAACCAATGAGAGATGATGCTGGAGTAAAACTTTGGTGTGAGGTTTACGTCAGGTGAACCAGGAAGACAAAAAGTCAAGCAGGTTGGCGATAATATTAGTAAATATTGCGATGATGATATCAGGTGCAATGTCTTTTTTCTTCCATTTCATTACTTTCTATTCTGTACGGTGTACTCTATGTGACTTTTGGCAATGTGTGTCTGCCGTGAGACTCTGTCCTACTAAATATATTGTTAGCATGAAAAATAAAACTTCAAAACTTTTCAAATACATCAATTATTGCACTCCAAGCAAACCTTTGGGATATGACTATTGCATACACTGATATTGAGGGATATAAATACCTCGGTGTTCATCTGGACAACAGACTGGACTGGAGACTCAACAGTGAAGCAGTCTACAAGAAAGGTCAGAGCAGACTGGAC